GTACAGACTACCCTCCCCAGACCCCACCTGTTGGGAACATACTGGGTTTGTTGTTGTTGTTGTATAACAAGGATTTAAATAGCTAATTAGGAATAAAAAATCCACATAATTTAAAATTCAAAAAACCTAAAATATCTCAACTAACTCAAACAATCTAATAGAAATTTAAAATTGAAATTCATCCTAAAACTAAGCAACTTATTCTACTAAAAAAGTTACTGCAGTAATTGAAAGCAACAAAACTTCAACAGCTATCATATACACCATCAAATAGATCTTGGGGTTTCAAATTTTTGCTGCAGATGTCTTTTTATTTTATTTTTCTTTTGGGTGNCTGCTTAAAATAAATTAGCTGGGGACAATGTAGGAAACAAATATTTTGGACAGTTGAAGGTTGGTCAATGCACCAGAAGGAAGCACAAACCTCTTAGACTGTCACTTAAAGAGGGTCACTTTAAAGAGTTGACATTCATCTTTTCAGGTCTATTCGATCAAGTTATTCATTCTACTGAGAATGTTGACATTAGTGGGCTGTTCAAGCATCTTTATCCGAAGGTATAAGTTGTCACTGTTGTTTATTGGAAGGAACCCTAATATATTTTGTGTCGTAAGCTCTTCTTCATTTCTCCAGGTTATGGTAGGCTTACCGCTTTTAGAAGGAATAAACCCAGCTTCATGTTTTCCACGAACTGCTATTGGCTATGAGGCCACTTGCTACAGTCACATCTGGAGTGAGGTTGTGCTCATCCTCGCTCTTATCTGTTTACTTGACAAGTTTGTCATTCATGAATGTGCCCATAAAAGCCTAATAGATTTTGTTACTTGCTTTTTTCCCCTCCATTTACTCCCTCTATTTCATTTTATATGGCACTCTTTATTTTTTAGTTTGTTCCATGAGGAATGACACCATTCTATATTTAGAAACTCTTTAACTTTGAAGTTTTTATTTTACTCTTAATGTCATGCTCTTATAGCCATAGAAATGTCATGGCATGTTTAAGATTACATGTTTTAAGAGCTATTTTGGGTATGTGCCAGAAGTCTTTCTTTCTTGAACTTCATGCCCGGTCAAACATCGCCATGTAAAATGAAGCGAAGGGTGTATTTTATTATTTTTGCTAAATGCATCATCAGCTACCTCATGCTAAGCTTTGTCATAAGTATTGCAGAATTACTGTAGAGTTTGGAGTGTGTATATTCTATTTGGTAATATGGTTTTGATAAATTTATTACTTCCTCCTAGGTCTTTGCTGCTGATATATTTGCGTTGAAGTTTCATGATGATATTTTCAACTTACAAACAGGCTTGCAATTTAGGAATAAGGTACCAAGTACATCCCTGAGATTGTACTTTCCATTTGCTACGCTTGAATTTTATGTTTAGATCGACAATACTTAAGCACATATGATGTCTGATTCTGCAAGGATGGGTTAGTTTTCCCATAAATAGTATCAAGTGATCCCAGTGAATAACTTAACATGGATAGAGCGCTCTTTCTCTTGCATGTTTAAAGACCAGAACTAGCTTTTGCAATTGGAGATGTAATTTTGCCTTTGCTTTTTGTGGTTATCTGAGGCAGGTGTCCTTGGGGATAAAACAAGTCAATGGTAACCTAGATTTGCAACTATTGCAGCATCTGACATATCCTCCTATGTTACTACAGTTTCCAAATTCCACATCTAACCGCCACTAGGACTGCTGTCTCCATCCACATTCAGCTATGTTTCTATCAATTTGACGCCCCTCCCCAATCGTCAGTAAACTTGAAACTTAAAATTTCACTGCACACTAAAGAACCTGTCTGCATGCAATTACTCCATTCTCCAATTATGGCTGAAGTATAAACCCCTGCCCCTCAAAAGATATGAGCCTTTCTGGCTATGAGTATTGAGTTTTACTCAAAACAATTTTTATAGGTCTTTTAGTTTCATGATAGCCGACTCAGTCTTCATGTTTTTTCAGAAAGTGAATGCAGTTTCCAGAAACTATCACATCCTAAGTTCCCTGCTGAATTGCTCATTTTCTAAAGTACTTTTTTTTTTTTCACTTTCACTTTGTGGTAGGTATTGGCCCCAGGAGGAGGAAAAGACCCCATTGAAATGTTATCTGAATTTCTTGGGAGGGACCCATCAATACAAGCTTTTCTTGACAGCAAAGCTGATACAAACTAGAGTTTGGTAAAGCAGGGTGAATTTTTTCTGCTCCATAGGAGAAATAAAGATCAGAAATGGAAATAGCATGTAAAATCAAAGGCAGTTCAACTACAACCATTGAAAAACTGTGGTTGAGCTGTTGCTAATATAATCTTTATTCTCTCTCTTCGTGGGTACCTTTTTTTTTTCCCCTAAAATTTTGGGAAAGGTCCAAAGTACAACAAAATAACTTGTAATTGTGAAGTTATAAGGTATTATATCCCGGGGGTAAGAGAATAACAAAAAGAGTATGAACGTTGTAAACTTCCGTCATTTGGACCGAAGAATCTGCGGAGGAAATCAGGTTTTAAATTTCTTTGAAACCACATGATTGTATATTTAGTTAAATGACTTTACATATTTTGGTAGTCATACTTATTCTCTAAACTCACCACATGTTAATCTGATTGTATGATTGACGCAACTAAACCAATAACATAAGAGTCGCAAGACAAAGGTTCTAGATATCGAGTAATTTTTCTCAACTTGCTCGGGTTAAAACTTAAAACACAACTTTCAAAAGGGTTTTGAATTATATACACTAATATTGCACATTTTTTACAATATCCGTATAATTTAACATACTAGTATTAGAACCTGTGTGATGTGGGGATAATTTTAAAGAATATTAAATTTTATGAAATTATGATATGATATATCATATTAGGTATTTTATTTTTTAATACAATGTGCAAAAATATAAAAAAATCTAAACAAAATTAAAGAATACACATCATATGGTAATCAAATAAATTGTTTGTTCCTTATTTTATTCTTTATTAAATTAGGGTACTTAGTACTACACATTTACTAATATGACTTTTTATTTAACTTTTCAATTGGCTTAATATTTTGTCATTATTTTTCAATTGTCTAAATTTATCAATTTGAGTGTTATTGTCACAACCCAGCTCCCACTATAAGCTGTGATGGTGCCCAACGTCCCCGTTAGGCAAGTCGACGGTAAACTATTCATTTAACTATTTATTTTATTACTATTAAAATCACGGCTTTTATGAAATGAGAAAATTAATGCTTAGAAAATTGTGGATATACAAAATATTAGTAAAACATAAAATAAGAAGGTTACAATATTAGGCAAGTCCATAAACATCTACTAGAAAATCCCAAAACCCGGTGTCACAAGTGCATGAGCATATATTAGAACAATACAACACTACTACAACATCTGTATGGAATATAAAATAGACAGGATAAAATAAATAGATATGATGGAGACTCCGTGTGCTGCGGATCGTAGCATGGAATGCAGCTCACCAATAAAAATCCCCTCAGCAGCTGCGCCAACGCGCCAAGATAACCACCAATTGTACATGTCTCAGTACCTGCAAATTCAGTACAGAAGTGTAGCATAAGTACGTAAATCAATGCGCACCCAGTAAGTATCTATCCTAACCCCGAAAAAGTAGTGACGAGGGGTCGACATCAACACTTGCTAGCGGTCCAATAAATCAGATGTAATAAAAATAAACAGGTATGAGGCATGACATGTAAAATAGTGAGAACAGATATAAGTACATAATGCAATCCTCGACTGAAAAGTAAACACGAAGGCCTCAAATACCGGATACTTCCTCAAATGGAATACATAATGGTCAACAACGAATAAACGGTCACATCTCAAGTCAGGAAAAACTCACGGGTACACTGACTTCATATCAAGTATTACGCACGATTATGCCGAGGCAAGCGGCCCGGTCCCACAAGAGTAAAGGCATGAGTTCCTGCCGTGGCGTACGGCTCGATCCCTGTTGAGGCCGTTTAGCCCGATCCCATAATCGTGTACACTGCCGAGGGTCGACCGGCACGAACCATAGATGCATCTCATAATACTGTCGAGTCCGTACGGCTCGATCCATAATAGTACTGCTGAGGCGTTTAGCCCGATCCCATATGAATAGCGAAACTTGATGGGTCACTGGCCCCACTCAAGAATATATGTGTGAGTTGTGAAATTCAAGAAACTTTCGGACACATATGTACAACACGGTAGAAATCTGTAAAAGGAAGTGTAATCTCTACTGCTAATCAAGTAACTCGCCAAATATCTAAAATCGCAAGTCCAATAATTCACGCAAGTCTAGTCTCAGGCAAAAATGTAAATTAAAGTATAAACAAGCAAGAATAACTCAAATATTGTAATTAACACATGGCGTAGGTCTAAATCTACCTAGACCTAATAAGGAATTCTAGCATACGCAAGGACACTCGTCACCTCATACGTGCGTAGCCCCCACAACATATAGCACATAGAAAATATAATACCTACGGGGTAAATTCCCCCTCACAAGGTTAGATATCAGACTTACCTTGCTCCGAAATCCGATAACCGGCTCTAACGCCTCTCTAACTCCTCAAACCAATGCCAAACGATCCGAAACTAGTCATACAACGTGCAAACCAATAAAAACATACTCAAAAACTCATAATTTAACATCTATACCAATTCTCAACTCCACACGAAAAGTCAACAAAATCAACCCCCAGGCCCATGTGCCCGGATTTCGAAATATTATTGAAAATAAATATTACTCATAACTTATATAGTCTATATCCATAAAATTATCCAATTTCGTCAATGAATTGGCCCTTAAATCAAGGATTTATCATTTCTCACAGGTATGGACGTCATCATACCGATCCACAAGCCTCTACTAGATATTTGCTCATGACTCGTAGAACCTATGAACCTAGAGCTCTGATACCAACTTGTCACGACCCAAAATCTAACTAGTCGTGATGACACCTAACCCAACCCGCTAGATAAGCCAAGCTAACAATAATCCAATTTCAAATGAGATCTACTGAGAGAAATAATGATAATATAACCGAACTCTTATACAAAGAAATCCCAAGGTCCGGCAGTACAAATCATGAGTTTCTAAGATTTAGAGTTTACAAAGCTAGTATGAAATAAATACATCACCTGTTTGAAATGTACATAAACAAATTTTTATAAATCTAAAGTTACCATGAACAAGAGGCAGCTACAACCAGAACGCAGGTTCATCTTCGCAGCCACCCTCCTCCATACACAGCAATATCAGCTCCAGAATCTGCACGCAAGGTGCAGAAGTGTAGTATGAGTACAATCGGCCACATGTACCCAATAAGTAACAAACCTAACCTTATGTTAAAAGCAGTGAAGAGCTTGGACGACGGCCAGAGTCCAACACCAACATTCAAGAACAACTCGTAATAATATAATGAAAACAATACAAGTAATACTCAACGATATGGTGCTCAGCTCGTCCACAGTTACGAAAAATAGGCATGCTTTTTAGGTATAACAGTAAAACTCAAATCTTTCACTGAAGTTACCAAAATGTGAGTATGTCAGAAAAACTATGATTTTTCCCAAAAACTTTCAACAACAGATAAGATGCTCCATTATTAGATAGCATGAGTAAAGTACATTTCTACGCCTACATGTCAATGCGTGTGAGAAGTCATAAATGTCACAATACCGTATAGCATGAGGAAATGCATCTCTATGCCTACATTCCAAGTATGCATGTCAAATGTAATGCACCACATTGATAAACTCATGTGCTCATGCATCCAGAGTATTCAACCTCACCCAGCACGCTCAATCACTTAGCACCTCCTAATCACTCAACACTCTCAATCACTCGTCACTTGCACTCGGCACTCGCATTCATCGGTACCTGCGCTCACTGCTGGTACATCAGACTCCGGAGGGACGAATTCTGCCCAAGCGCTAATATAAGCCAATCATGGCATGCTGCATTGTGCAGCCCGATCCCATCATGAATCAATAAAGCATGTTGCGGCGTGTATCCTGATCTCATAAATATCACTCACAATCAGGCCCTCGACCTCACTCAGTCATCAATCTCTCCAGTCTCTTGGGCTCACAAATCTCATGCCAATCAGCCCAAACAATGATACATGATGTAACAATAGATGATACGAGATATGATATGCAAATGAATGAATATGACTGAGTATGTAATTGCAATTTAAGCAAATAACTCAACAACAGAAATGATCTCAGTGGGTCCCAACAGAATAAACATATAACCTAAACATGGTTTCTAACATGGGTCACAATTCAATTACTCTAGCACGTAGAAATTTTATGGATAGAAATAATATTTGGTAACTACACAGTACTACAGAATCAACCGAATCATAATTCACACGGTGCATGCCCACACACCCGTCACCTAGCATGTGCGTCACCTCAACACCAAACACATAACACGTATGTTCAGGGATTCATACCCTCAATACCAAATTTAGAAGTGTTACTTACCTCCGAATGGCTCGAAACTAGCGAAAGGCAACTCAAGAAAATCAAAGAATGCCAAAGGAAACAAACCCAATCGATAAAGGTCGAATCTTTAATCAAAATCCCAAAGTCATCCAAAAGGTCAAACCCGGGCTCGCACCTCGAAACCCGACAAAACTTACAAAATCTGATAACCCATTCAATTACGAGTCCAACCATACTAGTTTCACTCAAATCCGACTCCGAATCGATATTCAAAACTCAAAAATTTACTTCATGAAAGTTTAGATAAAACCCCCCAATTTCTCTTTTGAAATCATCAACCAAATGCCAAAAACGAAAATAGATTCATGAAATGTAATCAAAACCGAGTAGAAAATACTTACCCCAATCCATGTGGTGAGAATCGCCTAAAAAATCACCTAAATCCGAGCTTCCCAACTCAAAATATGACCAAATGAACAAACGCTCGATATTATATACTTCTGCTCCATTTCTTATGCCAAACAATCCCTAAACTCACTTTTGATGCCTCTAATGGATTTCGTGTGAAATTCCAGTCAAGTTAGGCTTTTGAATCACTCAATTTGACCTTAAAATGAAGGAGATATATTGGTTTAAATATTTGGAAATAGTGCAGATTTTTAAATACGAATTCAGTGGCAATTTTGTAATTGATCTAAAAATAAATCTAGCAACCCAATTCTAAGTAAAATGACCATAAATTCCTCATACGATGTCCAAATTTGACGATTCTTTTTGCTATGAATCCGTAATTACGATGAGGATCTAATGCTTTAATCAAAACATAAATTAGAGCTCATCTGCTTAATGTGGTACCATTTATGCATGAAGAAATGACGTCGGAACATAAAAAAACGAGCGCAACACAACCCAAACCTATCCGAAACTCACCCGAGCCCCTCGGAATCCCGTCCGAACATACTAACAAGTCCCATAACATAACACGGACTTAAGCGAGGCATCAAATCACGCATAACAATATCAAAATCACGAATCACACCTCAAATCAAACTTAATGAACTTTCTACTTCCAAAACTCGTGCCGAACCATATCAAATCAACTCGGAATGAA